GTCTAGAGTTAGGGCTTCTCTTTTGTTTCATTTTTGGGGTGCTTGGGCCTCACAAGCAACCAATGCTATTTGTCCTTTCTCAGAAACAAAGCTCTGATCTTGAAGGGGGTGCCTCCAAAGGGCAGCGTTTTCTGATCCTGTCATGGTGACACATGGAGAGCCACCGATTACCAGGTGTGGTGCAGGGGCCAGTCTGTAGTTATTGCTTTGTGGAGTGTAGGCTGAGTCCCCCAGAGCCCTCCAGGGCAGGGCCAAACTTCTCTGGGACCACACGGAAAAGGGATGGTTCCCATATCCATCAAGATGAGCTTGGAAAGAAGGATGTGTGAATTGTGACTTTGCAAAAACATGCAAAATACTCTGGTGCCGGCTACGAAAGCCTTGCTGTGGATTTTGGAAGCTAATCTCCATTCTCTCTCATTTTCCATAATTTCACACATTGTATTTGGTTGAATTAGTCTTCCCCACTGGCTGCCCACAGCTCCAAAGGAGGATATAGAGGCATCAGACAATGCTTTTTCATTGTCCCAGTGTCTGCTGGGTGGCTGATGCCTAAAGCCTGCAGGCCCAGATAAGATGCTCAAATCCTCAAGTGACTTACAGATAATCTGGTGTGGACAAAAGCAGGAAGTGAGTTGAATTCCATCAGCTACCTGGGATTTTTTAGTCACACGCTGAGGATAGGCACTATATTTTTCTCCCCTTTGAATACTTGAAGCATCTTTGTTTTATAATCTCTATGATTCTGGAGAGAAACCAAGGCAGTTAGTGACAAAACTGCTATGTCTATATGCCAATCTGATGGCAAATCATAGCATCTGGTCAATGAGTGACTTCTCACTTGAACCTTAAAGCACTGGCGGGGCACTGGGGTGGGAGCAAGATCATTTGCTCGTTGAATGGTGGGAGCTATTATGGAGTAGCTCATGAACAGGGGGCCAAAGTTGCAGGAAGGGAACAGGAAAGAAAGAATGAATTGGAAATAGAGGAAGGTTGGGGAGCTTGGGCCCCCTAAAAGATGAGGTTTGGCTGAGATGTCATGGTCTTTTTCTGCTGGACAATATCCCACTTCTTGTTAGTTTGGAGTGAGTTTTCTCTTATCTTGAATCCAACTTTCATGCAAGGTTCTTCTCTGTGAGCTAGGGTTTAAGGTATAATTCCAGGCAGCAAAGGGCTGCGTCTCATGGGTTCTGATTGTTGTTGGACTACTGATGGATGTTCCTGGTATAGGCTGGCAGAGGGCTTCCACATCAGCATGGCAGTCATCTTATGTCACTGGCCTCCTGGCATGGGGCAGCATTCCAGTGGTGCTGGGTGCAGGGGAGGAGAATGTGAGGTAGATTGGTGGATGCATAGGAGGGAGGGGAGCAGGATCAACTCTCCTGGAGGTTTGCTTCTGAAGAGGAGGGTTGCAGTGGGTGGTGGGGTTTGCTAGTGAGGACGGTTCAACATCTGTTGGACCTGAATGAAACACATTGTGAACAATGAATTGACTACACTTCTAAGCCCCTTGTAGAAAAATATATCCAGAATGAATCTGTATCACATCTCAGTTCTGAAATCTCCTTTAGTTCACAGGTTATTGGTCAACAGAAAACAAGATGTAGCTGTACAAAGCCAACTCCTGGCTGCTTTTCTAAATGAAGACTCAGCAGTTACAATGCTCCACGGCGGTAGGCCATTCTTGGCTTTAATTGGGTTGTAAGCCGTCTTCCAGGGCATCTACCTGGAGCTGGGAGCTCTCTTTTGCACACATGAGCGGGCTATGGGGAGAAGTTTGGGTTGGGGTGGAATTACAGGGAATGAGCTTCCATCTGTAATGATGCTATCTCTGGGTCAATGTTCCTAGAGCTTGGTATTCATAGTTGGCCCCAGCCAAGACCTTACAGGGCTCTTCCAGTTTCTTTCTGGGTCTTGGGGGAGGTAGCAGAATATATTGTATGACTTGGGGAACTGAAGAAATCTGTCTGGGCCAGCCCCAGGTAGAGCTGGCTAGTCAGTGTTGCTGAGGCTGGGTTGTTGGCCTTGGCCACGTTGGGGTGGCCCACTCTTAGGCCTGCCTGTGCAAGAGATTCACCAGAAAGTCTTTCTTTCTACCATCCATTTGGAGGTGGTTGGGTGGGCCTTTTGGATCCAGAACTTTCATGCATGGTTCTGCTCACTTGGGCAGAAGGAGAAAAAGAGCCTCCATTTCAAAGACTTCATGTCACCACAAGTTCATATTATTATTCTGGTAGGGGTTGAGGGAGAACTGATGAATTTTTGTGAAATTAATTGTATTTCAAAATTACTGATGGAGTTTATGTAGATAGCATCTTCTGGTGATTCTTTTGGTAAATCAATCCGTTTTTAATGATGCCAACTCTTAGTTGTTAATCTTTTTGTTCATCAGATCACCTGCTGGGTTCTTTACAGGAGGCCCACCTGTCCTGCTGGTACCGTCCACACCAGTGGGTTTCAAATCGTGTTCCTGGCTGCTTCTGTGGCTGAAATGTGCGAGGGCAGGCAGGTCTGGCCTGTCATTCCCCTGCTTCCTATCTGAGCAGATCCTCTGGTTTCACTGCTACGAAGACATTTGTCTTCTGGCCTTTGTGACTTGGCTTCCTAGGGCTGGGCTGCTGAAACTCTGCCCTGGGCATCAGGCCCGTGAGTTCCTGCTCTAATTCAACTGTGTCCTGCATGCTGGTCGTCTCCAGTAGCTTCACTGTAAGGACAGTGGAAAGTAGGTGTGCCTTTCAGGGACATTTAGAGACAGAGGAATAGTGGCAAAGGAGTGGATGGAGCAGACGTCAATTCTGGCACTCCCAACTTACAAGGCCAGTTTGGACTGGATTGCCCTTTTACTTAGGAATCCTGTGACCCAGACAGGCTGATGTTCTGGCCTGATAGTGGGAATTTTTTTCTTCCTTTAGGCTCAGAGACTCCTCTGCCAGGGTTGACACTATTTTGCCAAGAGGCAAAGTCATGTACACTGGAGAATTTCAGTGATAAACGTGGGAGTTTAGGAGTAAATCTGTCAGGATACTGAGGCAGGAACAAAACAGTGACAGGGTGAGGTGTGTTACTATCTGTCCCAGCTACTGTAAAACTGAACATGAGATTCCAGAGGTCAGTTTCCCCAACCTCTTCCTACATGTCTTACCTTAAAAAGAAAAAAAGTCAAAAACATGAACGTACACGTGTAGGCACTCTCCTGGGAGTTGTGGGCGACGGGTGTTTGGCCAAGAGAGAGGAGATGCGGGAGACAAGGGCTGGTATCAGGAAATTGGGGAGAGCACAGGTGGGCTGGGTAGTCAGAGGGGAGTGAAAGGAGCTGTGTGTAGGATAATTTCAAAATCATGGCCATGCTGGCAGGTGAAGGTGGCTAAAATAGCTAAGGTGTCTGTGACAGGGCCACCTCTCCCAACCCATGGAGCTTACAGAATGATCAAGCCAGAAAGCATGTATAGTTTTGGCCATTGACACAAGAGAGAGAAGGACAGGGTTTTTAAATTATTATTGTTTTTTTGCCATACTGGAGCTAAAACCCAGAGCCTCATGCATGCCATGCAAGTGTCCTACCATGAGTGACAACCCCGGCCTTTGGTAAAATTTTATTTTGAAACAGCATCTCCCTATGTTACCCAGCCTTAAGATCCTCCTGCCTCAGCCTCCCAAGTCTCTGGGATGACAGGCGTGCGCTACTGCACCCAGCTGGGAAAGGGGTATTTTGAGAAGTTAACAGGGACTCTTTCTTGCTGAGAGTCTCTGACATAGGCGGTCTCCCCAAGGATGGTTGGGCTGTACTACTGTGCTGCCCACCTGATCTCCTGCATAGGCTGAGACATTTGGGAATAACTTGGTGCTATCAGCCTGCAGTCTTCGGATTCTGAGTTTTGGAGTGTGACATGTATAAAGCACTTCCTGAAAAGTGTCCTCTGTGCAGTGCTGACATGGGCTGAGTGTCTGGGTCTTGGGTAGAAAAGAAATCCATCCATTGGAAACCTGGAGGGACAGCTCTTGGGTCCTTGGGGCTTCTGCATAGAGTCTGGAGGCTGGGTACACCTTTCCAGGCAAGCCTAGTCTGCCCTGAATCTGGGGTACCGGGCCTGGCTAGGGAAATGTCCCCCTTCCGTGGTGAAAAGCAGGTACGCAGGCAGGCTTGTCCTGGTCTCTTGGGTTCCCAACACAGGACCAAGTCTTTACCAACCTGATGGCCTGATCTGCACCTGGGGCAGAGGAGCGGCAATGGTATAGCTGGCCATTGTTTTTGGATGACCATTGTTCTTCTGGCTGTGGAATGTTCAGGAGTGACCCCCAGAGACGTGGCCTAAGGCAGGGAAGAATATAGCTGGACCTCGTAGAGCATCTTTCTGCTTACTAGCATTTGAGATTATAAAAAATTATTTTTTAATCAAAAATTTCCAAAATAAAGAGAGTGATTTCCCCATCCCCCAAGGTGTAATAAGTCTCATTGGCTCTCCCTCAGGCTTACGCCAAGTCAGATGGAAAGGAAAGCAAGAAGCGGCTGTGAAGGAGAAAGTGAGGTCCCAAGTGAGGACAGATGGCCTTGAACTCCCAGAGGGACAGTCCCTGCTCCTGCTCAGCCCTGTTTCCAGGCCACTAGGTTCAGGACAAAAATTCTGGCTGGGGCTGGCGGGACAGGATGATGACAATGTGAAGGCAACTGACAGGAGTGTCCCCGGAAAGCAGGATCTCTTGGTTCCACGGCATCCCCAGGTGACGCGGCGTGCAGCCTGGTACAGAAATGATTCCTTTGCACAGCAGCATATGTTCTCGTCGCAGCTCGAGGCGTAAATCATACTTCCTAATGAAAAAACCCCAATCTTGATAGCAGCGCATACTTTATACTAGGAAACTTGCAAGGAGACCAGTGTTGAACCACAAAGCGGATACGGGATTTTGCTTTTGTCTGTGAAAATGTACAGCGCGCCTGCTTGGGGCTGCGGTGTCAGGACTAGGTGGTGCCCGTGGGGCCCAGGGCTCTGTGCTGAGCTCCTTCATACCTCGCCCACCCACACCACCGTGGATCCCCGCTTTATGCCAGACACCTCGCACCGCAGTGTGTTTTGTCTACCATTGATCAGGAACAGTGACTCTTGGGCTGGCGTGAGGAGGTACTGTCCAAATAGCCCGCTGTCCCTCAGGATTCTGCGAGGTCCTCCCCAGGGCCAGGCTGGCCCTGTGGGTGGTTCCTTTAAGTTTTTCAGCATGCCCATCTTCCCTGTGGACAGTTCCAGGAACAGCAGGTCGGGCTGTGTCTCCAGGGTGGCATAGATGTCATACTGATTACCTTCGGTGAAGGAGTGCTGGAACACCAAGTCCGAGATGCCCGGGTTTATTTTCAGGTCATACAGGGTCTGGATCTCCCCCCTCATTGTGACCTCCTGCACGTGAAACCTGGGACTGTTGGCGGCGGTGCTGACAATGAAGCGCCCATCGGGAGACACATGGGGGGTCCCCGTTACGTCACTGTTGAGACCCAGAACAGAATCTGTGACACTGTCAATGAGCAGCTGCGGGGTGGTGGAGGTGGGGGTGTCCTGTTGGCACTGGATGAAGAAGTAGCCTCCCAGGTGGGTGTGTGCCATGGCTTGGGGCACACAGCCATGGCTTTGCAGGCTTATGGTCTTGAGGGGCATCAGTGTCTCTAGGTCTACTTTGTGAACTGCAGGGTCAGATTTGTTGAAGATGAAGCCAAACCTGGGAGGGGAAGAATGGAGGTCAGACAGTGGGAGGCCTCTTGGAGGAGTAGGGGCTCTGACATTTGTCTTAAAGGATTGCCTCCTTACCCTTTTCCCTTTATCACAATCCTTCGGTGATCTAATAGCCTATTAATAAGCTATATCTTTCTGCAGGGGATGGCTTCCTAAATACATTATCTATGATCTCAGGCCAAATGTGGTTGAGTTATAAATGTTACTGGACTTATGCTCTAGCAACATGCACTCATCTTTAGACATGATTTTTAAAGGAGGGTGAAAGGGCTTCCATGGCTTCTTCCTTTTGGATGCCCTTGAATCTGATTCTGCAAGGCCTGTGCTTCCAGGGTGAGCATGCACTGAAAAGAGACTCTTCCCCTGAGGACAAGATCAGAGAACCCACATCTCAGATGTTTACTGGAATAGAGGGTGAGTCAGAATTGGAGGATGAAGATGTAGCTACACAGGTACAGATTTCCCATCAGTGTCCTGGGCCCTGGGAAGTCTCTTCTCTGGCACTGACGATGCAGGGAGAAAGAGCCTTGGGCAATGGGCCAAGGACAGTGGTCACCTTGGGGGCAAGATGACTTGGAGCCACCATGCTGCCCTGTTGACTGCAGGACCTGGGGCAAGCTGCTTACCTCTCTGAGTCTCAGTGATTATAAAAAAAGACAGTTTCTTCCTAGGACTGTTGAGATGATCCAATATAAGAGGGAACTTTGCCATCAACATGTATAACTATAATGCACCAATAAAAAATGTGGAAAACAGGAAAGGGAACTTTAGTGGAGAGGCTCAAGCAAGGGGTAGTTGCTTACATCTGGACTTTCTGAAAGTCCTGTTTGGAGGCTTGTTAAGCATATGAATCCAGGTGGGACTTCCCTTTGACATGAAGAGCCTATACTCAACAAAGCTCTTTTGATAATTCCACCTAAAGGAATAGGAAAAAAAAATCTCTTCCATATTATTCTCTTGGAAAACTCTATCTCAGAGTGGATAAAATGCTCTCTCCCTCCAGGCATGTCTTTAAGGCATCTCTAAAGAGCCAGAGTATGGAAAGAGCAGGTGATAATGCTCTTAGAAGGACTGGGAATACAAAAGCTAGGTAGGAACTGTGGGGCCTAGCTGAATTCAGCTCCTTTGTGGGGTTCTCATTAATTAATACAGCTTCAGAGGCTCTTCCCCAGGCGCACTCTGTAGGGAGGGGGCTCATAAGGTGGCTGTGTTCTTCCTTGGGTAAGGGTAAGTGTGACTCCCCACATCAACTTTCCAAAATGGACCATTGTACCTGGAGGAAAGTGCTTGACATCACAGTCCAGAAAGGCACAAACAGCACCATAAGACCTTTGGAGTCTCCAGCTGAGTTTTCTGGAGGTGGAGCTTTAGAGAAAACATCTGGGGGCTCTCTAAAATGAATATGGAAGGGAAATGGCCAGGTTGGGAAAGGTTTACAGTTGAGGCCATGGCTAGTATTATTATTCTTTTAATTTTAGTTGTAGATGGACACAATGCCTTTATTTTACTTATTTTTTTATGTGGTGCTGAGGATCGAACCCAGTGCTTCACATGGGCTAGGCAAGTGCTCTACCACTGAGCCACAATCCCAGCCCCGTGGCTATTATTATTAATTTCTATTTTGAATGATGGTAAAAACTATGACATCCAGGAGGTCTTGTCTCTTTGTGGGTTTCTGCACAGATGCCCTGGGGGCTCCTAGAGGAACCATGGGTTGTAGTTAGCTGGAAATGAGGTCGAATGGGGCAGTGGAAGGAGACTTGGCTTTGCATTTAGTCTGATTCTGCCAATTCCTGTCTGCAGGACCTTGGCCATTGTCTTCACATTTCTGAGCCTCAGTATTTTCACCAGTAAAACAGGAGTCAAGGCCACCTCTACTAGATTTTTGGGTCTAAAAGGAGAGGATGCTTAACTAATCACTGTTGCTTCTTTCTTTCTGTGTTGTAGTTTCTTTCTTCCTCTGTTGTTCTTACCTTGAAGATGACACTTCCTGATGTCACTGGGCTCCTGAAGGTATTAGGAGCTAGGCACCCTCCTTAACTTTATCAGAGTGGCTAAGCAAAGGGGACTAAGTTCTGGGTCTGCTTTGTCAGAAGTGGGTTCATTTCTGTCCCTTCCTGATAAGTCCAAAGTCAGTTCAGGGGAGATAGGGGGAGGGGGGGGGGAGAGAGAGAGAGAGAGAAGAGAAGAGACACAAACAGGTACCACTCTGGGCAAGGCTGGAGCATGAAGTCCTTAGAGGCACCGCAGGCCAGCTTACCTGATGTGGTTGATGATGAGGTTTGTTGGAGGAATGAAGAAATCATCCACTCCTGCAAAGGTTGTTCGGATGAGGTGCTGGCCCTGGCCAGCACTAGCTTCTGTGATCACCTACAACATAGAGCACAGTCCTTGTGAGGGCCCATCCAGGCAGAGGACTGGAAGCCTGGAGACACCTGTGTGCTCAGGTGTGGCCCCCAGCAGAGGGGCTCCTTGGGAGGGAGAGATGGTGGATAAGTCTCAAGGAAGAGACTGCAGCAAACATAACTGCTCAGGAATGCAGCAGGCAGGCACTCATCCTGCCTGGGAGAGGAAGTGGTGAGGCAGGAGAGATGGTCCCAGTCATTCCCTCCTTCATGGCTCAGCCTGCCATCAGTGCCCTGTGCCAGCCATTGCAATGACAGAGTGAGGACTTGAGGGATGGGGTTGGAGATTCTGAGGGGGGTTCCTGGAACTAAAACATCATTCTGTTCTGAGACAGCCTCCTTTCCCTCTAGGGATTCTCACCTTCTCAATCTCAAGGTCACCCTAGGAAAAGAGGGAAAGTCCTTTAATAATGAAAATATTAAGTGGTGGCATTGTTTGCTGGGACTTTATTTTCCCACAGTGCCAGGTTCCCTGGGTTAGGGAATCTGTGGTTTCCTATTCACAGAGATATTCTTTGAGAGTTGTGAGTCTGAGATTTATTTGAGAAAGCAGGGATTCCCTGCAGGTATGCATCAGAGATGCTACTCATGCCAGTTAGATGTCTTACAATTAGGATGCTGGGGAGATGATGGTTTTACAAAGAAGACTTGCTGTGAAAAGTAAAGAATTAGGCCTGTGCTTTGTGCAAATTGATAGTGACAGAACATGGCTGATCTGTTTCCTTGGATGCACTGCTCTCCCCCCCCCCCCGCCCCCACCCCCGTGGACTTGGCAGGACACAGTAAGAACCATTCTCTGGTATGTGTCCCTGTTGTGTCTGTGTCAGGGGAAGGCACACTGGCAGCTTAGGAGAGAGAGTCCTGTGGCATGTGATAGAATGAGGTCTCTGTGTGAAGCCCCTGTGGCCAGGCTGAGCCTGAGTCAGGTAGTCTGTATCCCTCTGCCTTAAAGTTCTAGGCTATTGCCCAGAAGGAGGGAGATCTTCAGTCATGTGAGCGGTTTGGTCAACTTGTGGGCAGTTTTGGTTTAATGTCCCTAAGGATAAGCCCAGACTCTCTGGGCAGGACAGGAGGCAGAGCCTAGTGAGACATGTTTCTTGATCATGATTTTGTGGCCAGCATGCAGAAAGAGGGATCCAGATTTCTGTAGCCCAAGGCTGGGCCTATAGGGTGAGGGCAGCCTCTGGTGGGGGGCTTCTGACTCACACAACTTGGAGCTCTGGATGTTCTGCCTTTTAGGAATGGGCCTGCCTCTGGCTCTCACTTCCATGAAAACACAAACACCTGGCCTTCCCCCTCAGGCAGGCTTGAGATTTGAGTCTTCACCAGGCTTCTCGTTGGGGGTCAGCAGGCTGAATGCCGGAGAGTGGAGGGATGCTCACTGTTATTTCAGTCTTGGGGCAGTTCTCAAGTAGCACTGGGTTATTTTTCCTGTGATTTTCCTTTTTAAAAAATGGTCAAATGATACTTTCATGGCAAGTCCACGAGAGAAAATCTCATAGATCTGGGCATTAAGAAAATATCGGCACAAGGAAACTGGATCACAGAGTGTCTGGGGGAAAATGCCAGAGGATTCTAAGGCAGCATGCAATCACTGCTGGATATCAGGCCTGTCATTTTAGCTTATAATAGAGATGGAAAATTACAGGCTGTCATTGGTCAGTGTCATTCGCGCTTCACCACTCTGACACCCTATATTCAGAGGTTACTTCATCAACACGCAGTACCATGGGCCACTGAACTGATGTGGGCATGTCAGACTTGTTTCTTGGAGTCATAAATTCCTTCTTGGCCTGGTCTTGTGTCCTGGCACTTGGCTGGGCCCACAAGTGCCCTTAAGCTATCTCTCCGGGCTTGCCTCAGGAGATATACGTATATGGCTGAGTATTAGGAGATGTCAGTTGGTTACAAGGGTAGGAACAAGAAGTCTAGGCATTTCCCTCAGAGGGTGGACAAAGCCAGTTGGGAAGTGATACCTAGAGATGCAAAGGAATCAGGTATCCAGTGGGACAGGTGGAGAGGCAGCTAAAAGCTGGGCCTGAGATTTTAGCTTTTAGACATGTGGGGCAGAGTTCAAGGAGAGACCAACATTCAAAAACTGGTTGCTGGGGAGGCCTCAGTTATGGATACATCTTCACGTAGTGACAGCAAGATTTGTTTAACAAATCCCTTCCTGTGGGTATTTAGAGAGAATATTAGGATATTTTAATGTTTCGCAAATATAAACAATGCAGTGACATAGAATATCATAGCTAAATCTTCGTCTACACTCATGATCACAGCATTTGAATATATTCTGAAAAGTCAAGGAGATGGATCAAAAATGACTCCTTTTTGGGTCCCATTTGATAATTGCTGTGTTAGGTGACATTTCCAGGAGTAATTTTTGCAAGTACTGGTTTCCTTAGCCGTAACCCACCCTAACTATTTCTTTTTTTGGTGACAATGTGTTTCCTGGACGGATGATGATCACCATTGTCTAATTCCTCCTATTAATTAAGATGCTTTTAGTGTTTTGCCGTGTAGACAAAGATTTGCTTTATTTTTTGGGAAATAGATCTTTTCCATATTTAAGGAATTTTCTTCTATTCTGGTTTTTAGGCCTTTTATTAAGACTGTCTAGTGTATTTGATTAAATGCTTTTTTGTACTTACTGAATACATTCTCTTTTTTCCTTTTAATTTGTTGGAGTTATGAATAACATCATTACATCCTAGGAATGTGTTTCCTGTTTGAGCATTCAGATACATTGCTGGACTCTTAATATTGTGTTTTGAATTTTGCTTCTGTATTCATTGATGAGATTAGTCTATAGTTTTTAAAATATTATTTTAAACCAATTTTTATAGTTATAATTATACTGGCTCTTTAAAACAAAGTAAGGAGCTGTATACCCCCTGTATGGTTTGGGATAGTTCAAATAATATTAAAATTATCTATATTTTGAAGCCTTGATAAAATTCAGATGTACATATTTTTATGGCAGTTCTTCAATCTAAAAACAAAACAAAACAAAACAAAAAACCCTTCCATGACAAATCGTTCTATTTCAAGTTTCCTTTTTCTAAAGTTAGGTACTATTCTTTTCTTTTGCATTTCATAAACAATCACCTATTTCTTAAGGTTTTAAAATCTGCCACCCAGAGTTGCAAGGTAGTATTTAATTCCAGCTATTTTCATCTTCCTGTATCTGCAGTAGTAGTTCCTTTCTCATTCTACATTTTGTCTATTTTTGTTTTCTCTCTTCTACATTAAGGTAGGGAAGGATTATTCTGTTTTTGTTTTCTATTAATTTCAGTCCTTATTAATTCCTTCTTAACATTTTGTTCTTTTCCCAATTTTTTAACACAAATACTCCCTTTCCATTGTTAACAAGCTTCCATTGTTAACTATTCCTTGCATACAGCTTTCTGTGTATCCTGCTAGGTTTGATGTGAAATATTCCCTCCCCCCCCACCCCCGAAATTGCTTTTGATCCAATACCTATCTAGGAATGAAATAGGTTACCATTGAACTATTTCAAATTATCAGATACTATAGCCGATAACATCTAATTTTACAAAAATTTTGAGGTTTTCTTATGATTTCAATAGGCTTTTGTATATGAGAATGTGTGAAAAATTCTATTTGGCAGGTGAAAGATTGCCTATATTTATTAAACTCAGCTCATTGTTTCTATTAATTTTTTATATCATTCTTTGTCTCCTCGGTATGTACAATTTAAGTTCATTTTAAATCTAATTGTTAAGACACTCCTGTTTTATGTAGTTAGTTATGTTTTACACCTTGGCAGGTCAACGTCTCTCTGACGACTGTTCAGAGCTTTTGACCTTGAAGTTGCCTCATCTGACGTTCCTGTTCCCTTTCCCAGACATCTCTTACTCACCTCTTATCACTATTCCCACCCCTTTAAATTCAACCTTTTTTTTATCACTTCATCTTATTTCATTTCATGTAAACAACTTGTTGCTAATTTTCTTTCTTTTTTTTAAGCCCAATTGGATCATCTCTGCTTTTAATAAGATAATTCAGCTGGTCACATTTGGAGTAAGAGATACTCCTTCTTCAACGTTCTTTGTATCCTCTCTCATCCCGACAGAGGGAGATTTTTGAGTATTTTTTACTTTCCTTCGGCTTCCTCTCCCTCCTTTTATTTTTGACTGAAATAACTCCACCTTTAGTTATAGTCTGCTGTCAAGTGCTTCTCACGCACAGTGTCCCTCCCAATTCAAGCCACTTTACTTTCCTCCTATACCTTCCATCCCCCTTGCTTTTAAATCTTTTTCTTTGGTTCATCAACACTTTCTCTCCCTTTTCTCTTTCCTTTTGATCTGGTCCATCTGATGTTCATCTAAGTATCTTAAGTGAGGCTACACACTCCCAGAGTGTTTGCATACCCTTACATCATTTATTTATTTTTTGTCTTGACAGGTAAATTATGTCTCAGCTGGAACAGGACCGTGGGGTTTTAGCCTTTTCTTCTTCACAGTATGTAGATGTGGCTCCGTGGGCGTCCAGCTACTGTTGCAGGTGAGAAGTTCAATGCCAATCTGCTTGTTTTGTCTTTTATAGGTAATTTGCTCTTTCTGCTCAGAAAGATCTTCCCTTGCAAGATTTTCCCTTTATTCTCGGAGTTCCAGAATTTTACTTTAAAAAGGGCAGAGATGTCATTTCTCGTCAATTTAGACTGGAACTTGCAGATCCCTTTCAATTTACCTGGTTAATATTCCAAATTTACTTAATGTTTGATTCCATTTCAACTGTGACCTTTGTCTAAACTTCTGTGGTCCTTACTTCACATCTCAATCTCTTCATGTGTTTGCTTTGTGATTTCAGAAAGATTCATCTTTCAGCCTACATTTTTTTTTTCTCAGTAGAAACCATTGAATTTTCTAATTCACTGACTGTAGTTTCAAATTAGGAAAAAATTTTGTTCATTTTTAGTTGACAAAACAAAACCTTTTCTGGTGGCCCATCTCTTGAATTTACTTAGGTACATTCTTAGCGTTATTTTATGGATCTCACAGGCAGTTCTATTTCTCTGGGCTGATGCTCTGTTCTGAGAAACCTTTATTCTGGCTCCTAGGTCCTCAGAGGGCTATTATTATTATTATTATTGTCTCAGCTCACTGGAACCCGGGGCTGGTTAGTGGCATCCCTTGAGTAATAGTAATCTCAGTTTACAGGAGGTGAAATAGCATCTCTACCTGACCCAGCAGAGCACCAGGAGGTTGGCTGGTGGTTGGGGCCAGTGGTCAGTCCCTGAGAGGGAGCTTCTCCAGACTCTGGCCTTCCCAGCCTCTCACCAGTCTTGGAAAGAGGGCAGAACCATCTCGTTTGCAGTTCTCCTCAATCAGGGTTCTGAGGGAGAAACCCTGATGGCCCAAGCCACCCATTGTATGTCGTGAATTAACTCCTCTCCTGTATTTTCAGAACAGCCCTCTGCAGTGTCTTGGAGAAGATGGAGCGCACAGGCATTGAATTCACTTTTTGTAGGGCTAACTCCTGTCCTGATCTCTGGTGAGAAAGGCTAGGTCAGGCACACTCAGCACAGGACTGGGTGACTTTCCCTGGCTGGTGGAGTGAGGATCCTACAGATCTCCAGAGCTCAGCCCTTTCCTAGGAGATAGTAAGCACAGTGCAGGGGCTGACGACGTGGCCTCCACAGCCACAGGCAAACTACTAGCACTCAGGACATTGTGTTTTTGTTTATTGATATAATTGCTCTCTGCTGCTCCTTTTCCTTTTTTAATTATGACTTTCTCTTTCTATGTCTCCACCATGACAAGATGAAGCACAAGATCCTCACCAGAAGCTGAACAGTTGAGGTTGCCTGATCTTGAGTGGAATCATGAGCCAGAATAAACCTCTCCTTTATAAATTATTCAGCCTTGGGTATTTTGTTATAGTAACAGAAAATAGATTAAGACAGCCAGCATCTACTACTTGCTTTCATATTATCCTCCAGTCTGTCTAGCCCAAGGTGGAAGAAAGAACTGTCTCCCTTCTCAATGCCTGGACCCAGGGCTTTATCCTGATTGTGGGAGTTACTAGCTCAGAAGAGGCAGGTATTGTGGGGTTGGTGGGGACTGGGTTCTCATGACATCGGAATTTTATTATCATCATATTATTATCTTCAGCAAGAGGCATGGCCTAAGATATCCTGTTAATTGAGAGGGGCATTACCCTGAGGCTTTTTCCTACTTTCTCCTTGAGGTTTATGGAAATATTGTGGATATATGTGATTAGACACCTAGGAAAGCAGGAGATCTTTATCATGTAGGGAGACAGTCCTTCTATAGGATGGGTGGCAGCCTCCACGCACTCAACATACCTGGAGGCTTGGTTGAGACTTGTGCCTGTCCCCCCAGCTCAGGACCCACACTTGGTCATGTGACTTGTCATAGAACAGCTTAGCCGGCAGAGGATCCACACCTATGGACTTGAAAAAAACAGTGACACGTTGGTCATCATTGTGGTAGAGGCTGATGGAGACGGGCCCTTCTGGGTTTTTGTACACGGACCTCACTCCCAGGAGAGTGGAAGGCTGATTTTATAGCATTGTCAGTGACCCTGTTTTGGAACCCAGGGCAGAACCTCCCCTTGGGCTTTGACTTCCCAGACATAAATTAGTTATTAATTATGTTCTCTCTTTTATTAACTTTTTTTTTTCATGTTTTACTTAAAGGAACATAAACCAACTTGGCAAAAGCCTAAACACAGAGGCTTTACATTTTCCACTCAGGAACCAGCTACAGGACTCTCCCTTTACTGTTCCTAGAAGCTTTGTGGGCCTCTTGGACCCTCAGTATCCTTTCCCAGCTGCTTGGTGCTCTGAATTTTAATGAGTTGGTCCTTCCCCCCTGGGTCATCAGAGGCAGACTTTGATATCATCTCTCTTAACTTTGTTCCATTCTGTGCAGCCTCTTCCATATTCTTTAACAGAAGCTATTGGAACTTAGACTGTGGCATCAGGCAGACTAACACTCTCTTTTTATTTTATTTTTTTAAACTGCAATATCTGAAACTGCTTTCTGCTGAGGGTATAGTTTCTCCTAGGGTCTTGTTACATGCAGGCTATTTTCAACTTCTTATCATGTAGTTTTATAAGTTCAAAACCCTTGTTGTGTAATGCTCATGCCGTTAGACTATGGCCCCAGCTCTTCTTGTCATTGGCCAACATCCTAGTTATACTCTGTTCACAAAAGATGTGGACACCAGGTTCACTGTCTTCTTTTCTACCACACACTTGGTCACCAAGTTTGGTGCCTTCAAATCCACATGGATAATTCATCTAAAGCCTGGCTTTCTTAGTTCCTTTTTGGTCTCCACAATCTTTACCTTTACCCCAACTCAGCCTCAATAAGTTATACCTTGTTAATATAATTTCCAAAATTTCAGTCTCAACTGACCATATTCTAGCCTTTCTGACTGACCAATGACTAGCCTCTCTGCTCATACTGTCCACACTGGTCATACTGGGCAACAATTTCTTTAAAGAACTGTCTATGGAGTTCCTGTTTTCACTTAACCTGAACTCATTTCCACTAAGTTTCTGTCTATTCTAGACCTTCACACCAAGCTCCAAGGTCACCTTGTGATCCTCCTGACATTTCAGCAAGACCTCATTGTGGTTCACTGGTCCCTTCTAGAAATATTGTCTTCATTTGCCCTTCCACCTCCCTGGCTCCTCCACTCCAGTCTGATGTCCAAGCTGGCATGGCCCAGCTCCTCATCTTTGGCCTAATTCTCTCCTTCTACATCCTTCCACTGGTATTGGAATCTAGTAATTCTCTACATGCACCTGTTGCCTGAACCTCACACATTACAGAACTGAAATATGTTTCTTCTCTTATCATCACCTTCTTTGAGCCTCAAGGAGAGGCTGATTTTATTTTCCTGAATTCACATATCCCGTGGCCTCTGTGGTCTCCAGTGAGCCTTCCTTGTTCTCATTTATCTGCTAACTTCCTACTTCCCTGATACCATTCCCCCGACCCAGAGCTTCCTAACCTATCCTAATGATATCCTTTGAACACTGTATTTAGTTTCTTTTTAAAAAAATCCTTTTTGAGGGCTGGGGATTAGCTCAGTTGGTAGAATGCTTGCCTTGCATGCACAAGGCTCTGGGTTCAAACTCAGCACCACACACACACAAAACAAACAACCCCCCCCCCCGCCCCGCCAAACCCTTTGTTTTATACGTTCTAAACCCTTTGGATTATACATTCTCCTTTAGATATCTCATTTATCTGTCCTCTTCACAGCAAAAATTTCCCTCAGGTTTGGATGGGATCCATTGTCTCTTCTTTCTGCTTAAGCTTCTACCATCAGATTTCATGTCCTGAGGTGGTATGGAGGAAACCTGAAGAGCTAAGCTAAAAATCTATTAAAATCAGAGCAGAATTTCCCACAGCCTAATGGGTAGAGAGCAAAGATCTGGCAGGGAAGAAATCCTAGTGAAAAAAACCAGGCTCTCACTTAAAAGCCTCAAGACTGAAGAGGTAAATAGAGTCTTCCAGAAACTTTAAAATGGTTGGTTCTCTATGCTCCCTGACTACCAGAGTAGGTGAACATTTTTAAGTAGATGATAACTATTTAAAGTCCTTAAATTTTCTTATATAGAATGTTTGGATTCAAAAAGATCTCTGGGCATTCCAAAAGGCAGATGATATGACTTAAAACAACATGAAAAAGACAACGAAAACCGATACGGGGGTGAGTCACAAAAAGTTAATAATTGAGAACTTATATATAAATAGGGGCTCTAGTAGGAATTTTAGAAGTGAAAAATGAAATACTTGAAAAAAACCTAATAAATAGGTTTTGTTAAACCCACCAGACATAGCAGAAGACAGAATTATCAAACTGAGAAGTTGATGGAACACATCCAAATTGAAGGAGATGTGGGGCACAGTGGAAAGGTCTGACCTTTAAAAAAAAATTAAAGCACAGTTCCAGAAGAAGAGAGGAGAGAGGTGGGGGAGGGAAGAGGGGTAGAGGGGGAGGGAGAGAGAGAAAAGAGGGGGTAGAATGAGGCAGCAGAACATGAAGAAATAACTGATGAGAATTTTCCCATCTGATGAAAGATCTCTACACATTCAAGAACTTCTGCAACCCCAAATGAGAATAAATACAAAGAACAACACACCCAGGCACATCATAGTTAAACTGCTGAAGACCAAAGAGAAAGTCTGAAAAGCAGAGAGAGAGAGAACCCTACCTTCAAAAGAACATTGATAAGACTGACAGTTAACCCACTGAAACAAAGGAAGATAAGGACAACTTCTCAGAATGCTAGAAGAAAATAATTGCCAATCTAAAATTCTACACCTGGTGAAAATATTTTTCAGCAACAAAATAAGGCATTTTCATGCAAGAACTGTGAGAATTTGTTACCAGCAGACACTAAAAAGAGCTATTAAAATGATTCTACACAGAGCTATGGACTTCAAGAATAAAGCACACTAGAAAGATATATATGTGGCTAAATGTAAATTTTTGCTTGGTAAAATGATCATCATGTTTTATGTGGTTAAGTTACATGTGGAATTTAGATTCATTACCAGAGTAATGCAGGAGGATGACTAAAAGAGTTAAAGTATTCTAATATTATTGGGGAAATGAAGTAACAGTTTTTATGCAACTCTACTGATGAGTGTTATAATCTCTGATGTTAACAACATCATAAGGGGGCATCTTCAACAATCTAATAAAAAATAGAATTAAAATGTTTGACAAATAAAAAAAGGAAAACAAAACCATGTAAATAAGAAGATAAAATAAAAAAGTAATATGGTAAATATACATTTTTTTTGGGGGATACTGGAGATTGAACTCAGGGTCACTCAATCATTGAGTCACACCCCCAGCCCTATTTTGTATTTTATTTAGAGACAGAGTCTTAATGAGTTACTTAGTGCCTTGCTATTGCTGAGGCTGGCTTTGAACTTGTGGTCCTCCTGCCTCAGCCTCCCAAGCTGCTGGAATTACAGGCATATGCCACTGTGCCTGGCTGGTAAATATAGCTCAACTATAAAATTAATTACATTAAATATAAATGGATCAAATACTCCAAGTAAAAGACTAATATTATTAAACTAGATAAAACTCAAAATTTAACTCCATATTACTCTATGAAAGAAAACCTAAAATATGAAGACATAGAAGGATTGAAATTAAAAGTATAGAAATATTACAAGGCCACTAATAAAAATAAACCTGATTTAGCTATACTAGTATTAGGCAAAAATAGACCTTCAGGAAAGTAGCATTAGTAGATATAAGAGTGTTATTTTCCTAAGAATAAAGACATCTTTCCCCCAAGAAAGAAATTACAATTTAAAAGCAAAATTGGATAGAACTTTGAGAAATAGATAAATCTATAATCACAGTGGAAGATTTTAACACACCTCTTATCAGCTGACAGACTAAGTAGATGAGAAAATCAGTAGGGATAAGAAATCTGAACAATATAATGAATCAGCTTGAACAAAATGACACGTATAGAATACCACACCTAACAATACCAGAATAAACATTCTCAAAGTGCACATGGAACATTTACCAAAATTGACCAAAAGCTCAGTTATAGAATAAGCTTTTGAACTTCAAAGGACTGAAATTATTCATAGTGTATTCTCTGGTCAATTACCAAAAATAGGTAGAAAGCCTTCTGTTGCATTTGCCAGGAGAAACCACACAGCTGGTTATACACAACTTTCTTTATACAGTGAACTTGCATGGGGGCAGCTGAGCATTGCTGGAAAGAGACAAACTCTGCTGACTGGTCTCACTTTAAATTTACATCCATAGTCCTGAAGTGGGTACTCACTATTAGTCCAGGAGCACTATCACCTGGCTAATTCAATCTCACATTCAGCTGTTGTCTCTTTCCTCAGACCTCCATCCCTGGTGATGCTTTTCCTTCTTATTTCACTGAGAAAGTGAAAGCAACCAGAAGAAAGTTCATCTAACTACCACCCACTATACCACCAATTTGCACCTGTGCCTGAATGCTTTCCATTTCCTCCTGTTCCAATGAAAGAATGTTCCTTTAGCTAGGGCTAGCATCTTCACTTGTGTACCTTGAATCCCACTGAATGCTGTGATGTCACCCACTCTAAATAAGTTCCTTTGACATCCCCTTCCAGCTGCCTCACTTGCCTACTTTCACAATAAACCTCCTCTATACAGTTGGCTACATTCCCACTTTATTCTCCATCATTGTAATTTGAATCTGCACCAGCAAGCTCACAATCACCGTTATCATTTCCCATCCTTGTGACCCATGACTGTGGTACCAAACCCAGTGGCCAGTTCACAATTCCTAACATGTGAATGCTCCTAACAGCATTCATCACTGTTGACCACTATCGATTGGAACATTCTCTGCTTTTGGCAGTTGGAGTATCACCCTTTTCTATTTTTTTCTTTAAGGTTACTCCTTCTTGGACTTCTTCCTTATTTTTGATCTTTAAATACTGGAGTGTTTTAAGTCTCCAACCTTGACTCTTTTTTTCTATATTACTCTGATTATTTAATCTAGTTCTCTGGATTTAATCGGTCCATAGGGTGATGATCTCCTGCCTAGACCCTCTCTTGACTCCAGACCTATTTATCCCACAGCTTTCCTGTCGTCTCCACTTACATGTGTAGTAGGATTTCAAATATAATTTTTCCCAACCTTCTCCATGTTTTCCCCACCCTAAGTCATTTCTACCATAGTATTTAGTTTCATATTGCTGCAGTAACAAATTACCACCAATCTGGTAGCTCAAAATAAGACAGATTTATTCTTTTACAATTCTGGAGACCAGAAAGCCAAAGTCAATTTCACTGGGATAAAACCAATATGTTGGCAGGGCTATGTTCCTTCCCAAGGCTTCTCCTTGCTTTTCCTAGTCTCTAGATCTGTAGTCCTTCCCTTTGGTGCTTCTGGTCTTCAAAGCCAGCAATGTAGCATTTTGCTTTAGTTCTCATGTTGACTTCTTTATCTATATTGTCAAATTTCTCTCTGCCTCCCTTTTATAAGGACATTTCTGATTGCATTTAGGATCCACCCAGATAATCAAAGGATAATCTCTTGATTTGAAAATCCTTAATCACATCTACAAAGTCCCTTTTGCTACACATTCACAGGTGACATTCACAGGTTCCAGGGATAAGGATGCAGACATCTTGGAGACCATAATTCAGCCTACCACACATTGTGAATGGCATCACCATTAAGCAAACAAACATTTTGATTCCTCCTTCTCTTGAACCTTATGTTTAACCCATCAGAAAGTCTTTTAGGCCCCACATTTAAAATACACCAAGGATCTGATCATTTCTCTCCACCTCCACTGCTATCATCTTCTCCTCTGGATTAGATCCCACCATCTCTCTACTCTTCCCATCTATTCTTAAGATAGCAGATGTATTGAATCTAAAAATATAAGTCAGATCATGTCACTCCTCTGATTACCCTTCAGTGGATTTCTATCTCACTTTGGATTTTATTCTAGGACTTAATGGCCTCCAAGGCCCTCTCTTTGCTTACCCATGACCTCGCTGCATCCTACTCTTGCCCTCATCAATATATGGTGCTCCCAGTCTGTGTCCTGAATGGCATTCAGTTCTCAGATTCTATTCACCTCTAGAGAGAGGGACCATTGAAAAGTATTACAGTCCCTTTGTTATATTTCATCAGTTTTTCAAAGCTCCCTGAAATTCTGATTTATGGTCTGCCTCTTTGATTATAATCTAAGTTCTAGGGACCTCAGTGCTCATTCATGGCTATCTCTTGAGCATAGTGAATAGCTGCACATGATTTTTTTTCCTTCCAAGCAGAGCACCTCTCCTAGTAGCTGGGGAATGTGCAGAAAGCAAAGAAGCATGTGATAGGTCATGCCCCAGAATTTGCATCATCCTCGTTCCCTTCAAGAAATGTACCTGTAGGACTTTCTGGGCTTGAACGTCGACCACAAGGACTCTGTTCAGTGCTGGCTGGGCCACATAGATGTACCGGTTCCTGATGTTAACCGCAGATGCCCACTGGCATGACTGGGTGGCACTTTCTTCTCCTTGGGGACAGATTTCTTCCTGTAAAGGAGAGAGGCTGCTATGTATCTTCTTAATCCCTCTTTCCTGATCTCCCTTGGTCCCTTTCTTCCCTCTCTTGGAAACCATGGGATAGACAGAACATGGCACACCAGTCCTCCCACATCATCAATTTCTCACCCAACATCCCTCCTCCCACCTCTCAGAGGCTGTAACCTCATTTGTACCCTTTCAATCAGCACCTTCCTGGTTCATATTCCTCCACTCTGGTGTGCTACCTTCTCCTCTCCTCGTCTTTGTCATTTGAAACTTATACTAATGGCCAAAGATCTGTAAGAGTTGCCCACACTCTTTTTCCACTTTCTCATGGCTCATAAGCTCCTCAACCCTTTGGCTTTAGTCCTTACTACAAAGCTTTGTCACCAAGGTCACTATTGACTCCTTGGTCATTAAATTAAACATCACCAACATTTTATTTGCACTTGGGCCATCAGCTGACAGTACTGACTATTGCTTGGTTTCCTTCCATCCATCCGCAGTGGCTGATTCTTCTGTGTTGTTGGGTTCTGCTCAGTTTGCTGACCTATGTCTCAGTACCCCAGGTTCACTCGTGAATTTCTTTTTTTCACTAAAATCAACTCCCTTGTTGATCTCATTGAAACCTATGGGTGTAAGTGCAGTCTTCATGCTTACATTCCCAAATTTCCATTTTCAGTTTGGGTGTCTCCCCTCAACTCTATGTTTATATAACTAAATGGCTTGCCCTGCTTGGTTGTTTAATGGGAATCTCAAACTTGTATGCCAAAAATCAGTGGTCAATTTTAGCTCCAATCCTGCTCATTCCACTCAAAAACTGGCAGCTCCATTGCATTCTTAGACCAAAATCTGTGGGGCTGTCCTTGACTCTTCTCCCCTGTCCATTGTTCCCATCAAAGGCGTCACAAATCCTTTCAGTTTTACCTTCAAAATATTTCCACAATTATGCCCTTTCTTACCATCCTACCTCTGTCAACTCTGGTTCAAGTCACATTCTTTGTTACCCAAGTAACTGCTTAGCATCCAGACTGTGCTCCTTGCTTCCACCCTACCCTTCGCCCACCCGTTCTCCACACAGCAACCATAGACAGGGATCACTGTAACATGGAAGTCAGATCATGTGACTCTTTCTGACTCCTCCTACCCCAATAAAATTCTCTCTTGCTTCTTTCTCCCTCCTCACTCTAGTCACATGAGCACGCTTGTTACCTTCAATCAAGCCAGCTTCCTGCATTAGGGCCTTGGCATTGGTAATTTCCTTTGCCAGGAATGCTCTTCTCCAATATCTGTTTGGTTTATTCCCTTGTTTCCTTCAGTTCTTGCTTAGGTGATTATTGATTATTGAGGAGCCTCCTCTGACCTCCTCTACCTTAGCGCCCCTAGCATTCCCTACTCCCTTCCTTTACTGTAGTTCTTAGGTACACTTGACTTTATACATTGACTTGTACACCTGGGCACAGTCTTTCTTCTTCTACTGGATGGTAAGCTCCCTGAGAGCAGGGTCTTTGTCTTCTATATCCTCATCCCTAGCCCAGTGCCTAGCCCAGAGTTGGTGCTTCAAATATATTTGTTGAATGAATCAGTGAGTGCAAAAGGGGAACTTCTTTGGTCTGTCTTCATGACATATATTCCCATTGGTTTCCTTATTACCTTGGCCAGATCTTGTCTTATTATTCTTAGTGGTCCTCTCAGTCTGAGCTGTGGAGTATCCCAGAATTCCATTCTAGGTACCCATCTCAGATCTCTGGCACACACCCATGTCTATCTCCTTAGCTTGAGCCAATACTTATTGCTAATGGCACAAAAATTTCTTCTCCAGCTCCTGTTTGATTCTTTCACAGCCACTTCATCCATACCTGAACCATCCCTTTCCATATCTGATTCTCCCTCTGGGTCTCCATCACTATAGGTCAGCCAAGTCCAAGGCATGAACAACAACTTTGATTTTTCCTTCTTTCATAAAAATCACCATTTATTAGTCATCATGGATTACCAAGCCAACCTCTAAAATCACTGAGTTCATCTATTCCTGCCTCCATTTCCATTTTTCTCTTAGATGACTGCAATTGCTATAAAGCTGGTCTCTGTCCTTTTACCATTGCCCTTCTCTGTATCTAGTGTTCATAATACCTCCAATTTGCATTAGAGAAAGCTGAGGCTTAGAGAGGTTAAATAACTTTTCTAAGCCATTTAGTCTACTGAGTGACAGGTGGGCTACGACTCCAGGTCTATATGACTGAAGGCTACACCTTATTTCATATGCTGCTTCCTGCTGGACCAAATGGACACCTAATCTAGCAGAGAGGTCAGAGCGCCATCTCTTCCTCCTCACCCTGCACTTTTTAGGGAGGGTTGTCCCATTGTAACCTTCTGGTGAGGGATTTAGACTTTTTTTTTTTAATATAAAGACCATTTTTGGGGATTGTTGCATGGCTCCCCATGGTTTTCTGTTGTCTGAAACACCTTCTTACTGTCCTGTTCTAACTACTTATCCAGTAATACGGAGTACCAATTAGGATCTGGGAGATTTTACTCACTTCATGGTTAGGTTATTGGAAATATATGAGAAATTAGTGCCCGTGTGACAGAGGGCAATTATTTAAACCTAATTGCTAGAAATTAAGCAGGACCAGTCTTTCCTACTAGTTTCATGGTTATTGTGTGGAAGAAAAGTTAATTAGAGGTTGTACTTCTAAGAAATAATTATTTCCAATGAAACAGACTGGAAAATAGCTGTTCCAAGCTACACAGTTGAGAAGGGAAACAGCCTGAGATCTGCCACAAGCCAGCACAACAGAGCATCAAACTGACCTAGGAACTTCCTGAGCCAAGCCCACTTCCACACATTCTACAGTCATTGCCTTCATCATCCTATTCATTGTGCACCCACTGAGGACTTCTGTGCATGTCCTTCAGGGGAGGGCAGGAGGGGGATTTGAAATGGCCCTTTTGGATTCAGTGTTATAGTCCAGTCCTTGAGGAGCTTAGACTATCTCATGAGGCCAACTGGGAAGCAAGCCAGAGGGAGAGGCCTGGTGTGGGAGGCATAGCTCTTGGGGGTGTCTCCTGGCAGCAGTCTTAGGAGTGGGAAGGGCTTTCCTGGCTCTGCCACCAGTAACCATCTCTTCTGCCTCTGCCACTCACACTGTCACTTTCTACCAGGTCTTGTGTTTCATCCATAGCACCTCCGCCACACTGGGCATTCGTGTGTGTTCATGCTCTCCTTCCCCAGTTCTGTGAGGGCACACCTGTCTGGCAGCTAAATGTTCACCATACTATGACCATGAACCTCTGAAGGACAGGAACCCATGTGTGCTCCTTGGGCCTCACCTATAGCTCAGGGCACAGCAGTGGCTGCTGGATGAAGAAAGAGAACTCTTAGCTCATGTGTTCCTTCCTTAGCCTTGGAACAAATACTGCACATAATAAATGGAATCTAGGAAACTCCATGGAGCACATGGTTGCACCGACTTTTAGGATTTTGTGTGTGATGTAGAAGCTTCCCCAGGCACAGAAACTCACATAACTCATGAAAATCTTCTCTGTGGGTTTGAGGTGCCTCTGGATCTCACAGTCCATGGGGTGGATGACAATGATACCATTATCGGAGAAGACGTAGAACATGTTTCCCACACTGAGTCCTGGGAGGAGCAAACACAGCATGGTCATGCCCTTCTAGCAGCCAGGCTCCAGGCAGGGTCACATGCAACATGGAGCACACAAGACTCAAGCAGATTGGATGCAACTGATGCAGACCAAAAAAAAAAAAAAAAAAAAAAAATTGTAGTTCCCAGCAGAGGTGGAGGTAGGGATGAGCAGCCAGCTCGAGACCCCTTGCTTGATGGTGGATGGAGGACCTGGAGAAAGTGCCCCAAAGGCTGGGAATCAATAAAGCCCATCCCCAGCTCTGTAGTACCCAGGCTGTCCTCCCAAACATCCACAGCTGTCCTACATCACCTAGCGCTGGTCACCAACACAAGTTTTCAAATAAATGATGGCCTTGGCATTGACATTTGTTTGACATTTCCCATTCTGAAAGGAAAACCTCCCTTGATTAGTTTTTGTGGAGTAGTCAAAGAAGAATGGACCATATGGTACCAAAAAATGTAAAGGCTGTTTTTATTTTTATTTTATATAGACACTCACTGCCATGGGGAACCTAAGGATGCTATGGTTGCTATGCCTTTGTCTGCACTTGGTCATTTGGTCCTTTCAGACAACTTGTTTTTATTCTGGCCCATGAGTGTCTCTGGGGCATCAAGGCTGGGCAGTGCTGCCTGCCCCCATCCTGCTCTACTGTTGTAGATCTCTGTGGAGAAGACACTCAGACCTCAGAAAGGGCCTTGGGGACCAGTCTTCTTACTTTAAAGATAAAGAGTCTGAGGTCGAGGAAGGAAGGGCTTGGGCAAGGCTACTTGCCTTTGCACTCAAGCTGGAGTTAGACCATGAGTCCTGCCTGGATCCTCTGTCTCCCAAGTTTGTCTATTAAGGAGAGACATGGCACAGAGAGATGTAAGATCTAGAGCTCTCCCAACTTCTTTCTTCCTCCCCCCACTTTCTTCCTGTCATCTCCCTTTCTCCATTTCTTTTAAAGAGAGAACATCAAGATTTTTACAAGTTCTAAGAAAAATATATGGAAAACTTTTTCTTGGCATGCTGAGAAAACCCATGTACTGGCTTAATGGATTGTTTTGGATGAGCTTTATTGAGTTAGAATATAATAAAACAGGAAAATAAGAATCATCTCATTTCCTTCCAAGGACTCTGCAGTCTGCAGCCAGCACACCTTTGGTCTGACTCACTTGGCAAACTGCTTCCACTCACATCTAGGGACCAGAGGGGTCCAAGTCCCTGCTAAACCACAGACTCTGGGAACAGCCTCCCTGGGCTTCCTGGAAAATCAATAACTGGAAGAACTAACACAAGATTGAAAGTTTAATAGAGTCCACATGGGGTGGGTAGCTATAGCTACATTTCCGGCTGAGCACAGTGCCCTGTTCACAGTCAGCACTGGAATATGAGGCTCAAAAGATACTCATTCAATACATAATTGACTTCACAGGGGACCCAACTTCATGATCCAGCCCCTTAGAAGGTTCTGTTGAATTTAGCTTCTAAAGGAGCTTTCTGGTTTTTGTTTACTCTCATCATCTCCTCTCTGCTAGAGATTTGAATGTGCTGTGAGGTCCATGATTTTTTCCTCTTGGTTTCGGTATTCCCTTTCTCCAGGTTTTGAATTTCATCAGTGAAGCGCACAAGCATCTAGCCACGTAGGCATGATAGAATTTGCTGCTGCATTGTTCAGAGCGCAGCACTGGCCAGCCCTGTGCCCTGAGGCAGCTGTGGGTTGTCAGGGAGAATTTGGGTTTCTACAGCTCATTTCACATCTCTTGCATCCCTAGTAAGATCTCCACTTTTGAAACTTGAGTCCTTCTGCAACAACCTCCCCTTAGCAGGATGCCACTTTTTAAAAACACGGAGCACAAGTTGCTTGTGCATTGGGGCCTCAGTTCAGGCAGTGACCTCTGCTTAGGACTGAGAGCAGCAACTGGAGTTGTTGGTAGAATTCCTCATGTTCTGGGTCCTGCCTTTTGCTCTCAGATTCACTGTCAGCTTCAGTGTTTCACATTCAGGAAACTGTCCTGGGCTTGTGTATGTGCACACATGCTAGACAGTGGGGAACACTATGCAAAGTTCTTGTAGAAAAAAATGAGACAGGAAACACGTGGTTTTAAAAATTGATGTTATGTTTAACCCTGGCAATCTCAACGTGCATCCTATAGCCTCTCATATTCCACTCTGTGCACTGAGCTGGAGAATAAGTCACCCAGGGTGATTTGAACTTGGATCTGATGCAGGGGTCATAGGACTAGGACCCATGCATGAACATGCACCTCAGGCAGTGACTTGGGCTTTATGACCCAGCTCCCACATGTGCACCATTTTGAACCACATGAAATTGCTGATATTAACCCAGTTTCAACATACAAAAATGGCATTTTCATCTGGATCAACCTAATATCTAAGGATTTGACTAATAAAATACTTTTGAAAATGTATATGTGGAAAAATATATATTTACAGAAACTATGGTTGCTTTTTTCTTTATTTCATCACAGCATACCTAAGGTATAGCTACTGTAGATCCCAGGAGGGACGGGCACCTTTTTTTTGGGGCGGGGGTTTATCTTTTTAACTTTATTTATTGCAGTATTGGGATAGAACTCAGGGCTTTTTAAATGCCAGGAAAGTGCTCTACCACTGAGCTACACCTCAAACATTTTGGTCTTTTTTAAACAACACAAGATAAAGCACAAAGCCCGACATCAGTATCAGCTACTGGAAAAAAGCACAGGGCCCAGATCTGACCGGGAGCTCCTGCCAAGTAGTCTGATTTATCTGAGGTTACAAGCAGCTTTCAATGAAACTCTCCGTTTTAAACTGTGCCTTTAAAGACACTAATAGGTTTTTAATCTGATTCAATGGGTATGCCACTTGAATTTGATTTTGACTGCCTCCCTTCCATTGGATTTGGCATGTGGGCCCTGCTTGAGGGGACTGCCTGGGATCTGCAAAACGGATGGCTGCTCAGAGAGACGACCTATCATGGAACCATGAACACATGCGATCAAAGGCACGACATGGAACAATCAAGCTTGGTACCTTCCTCTCTCCACAGAATGTTTGCCACTGTACAGCAGAGAATTAAGAAAGCCAGAACACGATTGCCAGAAGGGAAAAAGGAAAGCATTGTCAAACCTTTACTGTGGTGATACATTTCATTTAGAACATAATGGTACCCAGTCCATCACTTATCGACTCATTGGCCCAGCAGCAGCATCTGTCTTGTAACTCTGGACGGGAGTGAACACTTCCAGGTCTCAGGACTCTTGATTGCTAAATGAATCTTTGAAATTAGGCCCCAGGATCACAGCAGCTAATAAAATTCCCCACATTCTGTGGATGATAGAGAGCAAGCAACATCTCTCCCATATTCCCCTGATTACTTCAAGGAGAATTGATTTTCAACTAGGATCCTCGTAGGAAGACCCTGTGAAATACTTTTGATTATTTTCTTTGATGACAAAGGCATAGCTTGGAGTCTGACCAAGGGAAAGAGACTGCCACCAACACTCGTGTTCATGGATTCTTACCTGCGGTTCTCCCTGGGGTGCAGTGGCTATCACGGAGAGCACACTAAGTACAATGGGTGAATGATGATCCCTGGAGTTAAGGCCACCATGGTTAAGGCCTAATGGTTTGCATACTCAGCAGTTTCCCCTTATCTGTGGGAAATATGTTTCAAGGCCCCCAGTAGATGCCTGAAACCGCGGATAGTTCTAAACACTCTATACACTATATTTTTTCTTTTATACATTCCTATGATAAGGTTGAGTTTATAAATTCGGCATGGTAAGAGATCAACAATAATGATAAAATAGATTACAACAATATACTGCAATAAAAGTTATTTAAGACTTACGAATTGTTCATTTCTGGGATTTTCAATATAATATTTTCAGGCCATAGGAGGTGAAACTGCAGATGGTATTATTGTGTGAACTGGCCAGTTTCTGGGCCACTGTGGGATGGGGGCACCTTGCATGGTATGAAAGATTTTGGGAATGAGGGGCAGAGATTCTGATCAGACAACAAGTGGGAAACAGAACTGGGGCTGGGATATTGAAATTGTCTTGTGGTCCTGGGCTCTGTCTGCTATTCATAGACTTCTGCTATGTTTCCAGAGCTGTCTAGGTTGTCAGGAAAGGTCTGACATCTGGGTGTCCTCTGAACCCAATTTTGTGCATAGAGGATATAGGTTTACTCTAGCCTTTAAGAGCTCATGATTGGCAGCTGAGGCCCTGGTCTGTTGGTCCCCTCTCTTGCCACTTGACAGCCCCAACCAACTCAGTGAGGAGCATAAAGGCAAAAGTGGACTCACAGGTCTTCCTTGCTGAGTCCTCAATGAAGAGTGAGGAGATATCTTCATCCACGCCCACCTCATTTTTGGCAATGCAGGTGTATGCACCTGTGTCTTCATACCGAACACTGCCGATATGGAGCTCACTCCCATTGGCTGCAGGAAAAATGATCAGTGATCAGGGTGGCCTGCTCTACTGGACACCCTCCTTCCCTTCCTCCCCATTCCCTTCTTGGGACTGTTGAGAGTGTTGCAGTTGAAAACACAGCCCCTGGGCAGGGTTGGGGCAGCCAACATCCTGGATAATGCATCCAGGAAGGGTTGGTACAACTGAAACTCACTGAGGGCAAACTGGCACCTGATGGCTTCTCATCATTGCTCTCAGAAAGTCCCCAAGACCTGTGCATGGACAAGGAAATCTGGGGAGATGTCTGTTCCCTCCTAACATGTCAGACTTAGAAATGAATCTAGCCTCTCATTGTCATTCCTGGGGTGAGAACCAGCTTGAACTGGATGGAATACAGAAGCAAGGGCAGTTCTTACCTAAAAGTGAGAGTTGTTTAGACATCTGGGCTGAGACATCCATGCCATTTTTCAGCCAAGTGATTTTGGGCATGGGAATGCCCTCAGCATGGCATCTCAGGCTGGCTGCCACTCCAGGCTCCTGTGCCTGGGTCTCTGGATAGACGCGGATGACAGGCGGCACTGTGGGTGAAAATCAGCATTGGTAAGAGAAGGTCCTCAGCTGACTCCAGGCCCATGGCCCAACCCTGAGATCCTCCTCCAGAGGGTAAACCTCAGAGGGAACTCTGGAGCTCTCTTCTTTGCCAGCTTACAGTGATCTTCTTTGGCAACCCAAAAGTCTGATGAAAAGGACTCTAAAGTGGATTGCAACAGTAAATATGTCCAGCATTGTACCCAGTAATTCATGGATTTCAACATTATTCTAAATATGATTAGAAAGACATCCAAATATTTAATGCCATTCAGCTGCTACATGTAAAGAGCAAGAGCCAATGGATTTTATTTCTGAATGAATAAAATTCAAATATATTATTTCTATTATCGGAAAGCTATTGGACAGGGGCTTAATTTCTTGCAGGAAATGCTCTACCCAGCACTTATGGGCACTGACTGGCAGAGCTGCTAATTACATCACTGCTCTGAGGAAATTCATTGATTTTCCAGGGTGTCATTTTAATATTATCTCTTCCCTGGAACCTGGGTAAAAGGCCAGGTGTGCCCTCTTTGCCTATGGAGTGAGTCATCCATGGGTTCTGGAAGTCAAGTTTGGGGCTGGGAGTGTGACCTGGCTCACTGGCCAGATGAGCATGAGTGGGCAAGTCTCTGGCACCTTCCATAGTACTCTGGCTTTTTTACACAGGCTGACTGTGGGGTGGGACCTGGGGGAAGCAGAAATTGTCTGGAGGATCCTTCTCCCAATCCTAGCTCTGGACCCAGGAAATTGAATCAGTATCATTTTCAGTGGAATTGAAGGCTTATAGTCATCCATACATTTTACTCTACATACTTCTTAAAAGGACTTCCTCTTTCCCTCCCCCAATTCCTGTTTTTATGCTACCAGGGATTGAACTCAGGATCTATGTGAGTTGGGCAACCACTTTACCACTGGGCTACATCCCCAGTCCTTTCTTTTAAATTTTACTTTGAGACAGGGTCTTGCCAAGTTGCTTAGGGCCTTGCTAAGTTGCTGAGGCTCGTCTCAAGTTTGTGATCCTCTGCCTCAGCCTCAGCCACTGGAGTAGCTGGATTACAGGCACATGGCACTATATTTGGTTTCAGAAAGGATTTGGGGAAGTTTACATAAAGATACTCGGATATAAACTCAGCTAATATGTATCACCTATGCTTTGGAAAGGAGGGAGGTAGGCTCTTCCTGAAGTAGACTCTTCCTGAAGTAGACAACTGTATTTCCCTAGAGTTATCTGGAAGTTTTTGTTTTCTAATAAGAGAAGGTGTCCCAGTACTTGAGGAAAAAGATTCTTTTTGGGACCAGAGTGAAGGCAAAATTGATGCTAATGTAGGAGGAGGTGATGGCATTGATCCTGGAACCTGAGCAAGGTGGCAGAATTCTGATGATCCATACTCAGGTAGGCAGGGGACAGGAGAGAAGCTCCCTTGTTCCTTGTGAGAAGTGAACTTGGCAACTCCAGTTGAAACTCCTCAGGATCCTGCTATTCATGTGATCAACGGAGTCGGTTTCAAGTCTTTCTTTGGATGACTGGGGCAAAGTTAGGGGGCAGAGGTGAAATCTAAGTGGACAACTGGTAAATCATAAGACCTTACCCTCAAATGGCCTAGAGACGTTTTAATAACATGAACTCAGAGGAGATTAGGCCAAACTGCAGGGGCCCGAGAACGATAAAATCTGAGTCCTCTGAACAGCTTGTCTTTGTTAGAGGTTTTAGGGAAGAGGTCCAGGGTGCAGCAGAAGGGTTTTGTCCTAGTTCAGGCCACTGGGGATGGAGGAGGTAAGTGGGGTCTAGCTGAGGCATGGCTGAGGACGGCATAGAACATAGATGTGTTTCCTTCTCCTCTGGCCCCATTGGTTCAAAGAGGAAAGAAAGAAACTTCCCCACAGCTTACACTGGGCAGAGGGAGGAATGGGGTTCAAGTTGAGTAGAGAGAATTGTGGTCAGGAGGTGGTAATTCAAGATCCCAGAGGTAGAGCCTAGGAACCCTGAGCTGGCGGGCAGCTGGAGAAGGTGCTAGAGCAACCAGAGTTCTAGAGTAGGGGTGACCCGGATAAGGGCTCTAATAGCCTGGGCTCATGGTAGGTCACCATCTATTTGTACACGCCTTCCTGGCAACCCTGGTAGAAACCTAAAGAAAGTAGAAGAGTCGATAGAGATAGGAGCAGAAATGAATGAATCAATTAGAAAGCCAAGAAAAAGTAATTGATAAATAAATCTAAGGGCTGACTCTTTGTAAAAGCCAATAAAATAGCCAAAGTTCTGGCAAGTTTGATCAATGAAAAAAAAAAATAGAAAGAACAGAGGGGATTAAAAGATGTGAGAATACTGTACTCAATTATGGGTAATAAATGTGAAAATCTCAATGAAATGGATTATTTAAAAGGAAACTTTAAAGCATCAACATTGCTTTATGTAAAGATTAAAAAAAAATTTAAAGTGCTACTAACCCCAAAGTCACTCTGACTAGTTTTAGATCAGATTCCTTTGTATACTTAAGAATTAGATAATTCCTGGAGTATAGAATAGGGAAGACATTCCAAATTCCATCACAAAGCAAGTATAACCTGGACAACCCAAACCTGGCAAAGACCAAACAAACAAAACCCAAGACAAACAAATAAAAAATTAAAAAACCCCCACCAAATAAAAACAGGTGGCTACACACTTACTTGGGACTACATATAATACAATCCCAAGCACACAGTCAGCTCAAATCTAGCATTGTACTAAAAGAACATTCTGTATCCAAGTGTAATAAATTTTGATGGCTAACTAGTAAGAAAACTATAATTGATCAGATCCAAAGTCAAAGGCATTCAAAAAGAAAAACCATTTGATTCTCTTGCTAGGTACTGAAAGGGCCTTTGGGAAAAAAAATTCAAAATCCATTTCTTCGGGGAAAAAACCTTCAGTAAAATAGAAACAAAATGCTATTTTCTTCCTACATGAAGAACATCTCTATAAAAATAAGCAGCAGCACCATTCTTTGCAGAATGGTAAAACATTAAGTCAGGAAAAAGAAAAAGGAGGTAATATTAGACTCTGACGTTATGCTGGATGTTTCAATGGAAGGCAGCGATAAGAGACACAAATATTAAAAAGGTGCAGAAAAATAGTATTTTTATGTGGATATCCTCCAAGTAACAAACCAAAAAAGTGGTAAGGATTAAGAAGTGAATACGTAAAGGGGTCAGTACCAAAACATACAAAATTAGTAGCTTATTTATATATCAGCAATGGCCAGGCAGTAAAACAGCAGGAGTTCATAACCCACTTGAATCTAATGTATGAAATATGATATGTCAAGAGCTCTGTAATGTTTTGAACAACCAATAATAAAATAAATAAATAAAAAAAAAGAAATGGCATAGGACAACAGGACCCCCATTCACAAAAGAATGAATTTTTATGTAAACCTCACACCTTACATAAAGGTGAGCAAAATAAAAACCACAGAAATAAAAAAAAAAAAAGAGACTGAGGCATGAGGATTGCAAGTTCAAAGCCAGCCTCAGCAACTTAGCAAGACCCTGTCTCAAAATAAAATATAAAAAAATGGCAGGGGATGTGGCTTAGTGGTTAAGTACCCCTAGATGCAATCCCTAGTACCAAAAAAAAAAAAAGTGTGAACCTACATGAAGAAAACTATAAAACTTCACTTAAAAATTCTTCAGTAATTGGAAGAGATGTTCTTGGATAGGAAGACTTTCTAAATTGTTAAGAAGTAAAAAATGATAAATGAAGCTGTACATTTAATCTAATTCTAATGAAAACCAATTGATCAGGGCTTGCCAAAACAATTTTGAATTTATCTAGAAAGAAAAAAATGTGCAAGTACAGTGGAGGAAAATTTGAAAAATGATCATGATGATTATTGCCTTCCTAATCAATTATTACAAAGTATTACAATACCAAATGGAGGATGAGAGGGCTCTCATCCCAGATTCTGGCACCACGTTAGTGACATTGAATGAGTTTTACAAAGCTCTGTCTATTCGGTATTGTGCAGACAATGTTTATGAAATGCCACGCAAGTGTCAGGCATGACACAGACAGCAGTGAATAAGAGCCTCAGTCTCCGCCCTCATGGGATTGAGGAAGTCTGAAGAATTAACTTCAAGCGTGAAGATCACTCCCAAAAGGCAATTTGGGACCACAGGGATGGTAGTCCCAGAAAACTCATCAGAATAGAGAGCAGGTGCCACTCTGTGCATCTCACACAGGAAAGACTTAACTTTCTGATGACTGGGAGCCTGTCTTTTTATTGTGGAGGGTTTATCCAGGGAAAGGAAACTCAAGGAATGGGCCTGGCGTCCTCAGTGATATGAACACCAGCATTGAAGATTGGCCTTGGCTCTGCCTTGACCTTTGATAGAAATCTGTAGACCCATGAAATGCACTAGGACTACCCCCCAGTGTCTGAGCCCATTGGTCTGGGATGGGGCTGGAGAATTTGCATCTCCCTAACAGGTTCTTGGTGATACTCTGAGTCAGCTTGGAAGCTCTTCAGACCAATTCAGGACAAATTTTGAATTAGTGTGTGGGAATGTTCGGGAACAAAGGGAAACTTGATTGGTTTACTTCAGGGTGTGTGGAATGAACCATTCATGTAAAAATACATGACCAAAGTAAGACACCTGGGTCTCCACTGGCAGGGGTTTAGAGTAAGACACCCTCTTCTGGTCTTGAGGTCTCCTTGAGTCGAAGACATCCAGAGGATAAGACAGTACCTCCATAGAAAGGCTAAGGAGGGACCCCAGACCTCTGCCTGCTCCACCTCCAATGCCCTCTTCCTCCCTACTATGGTCCCAACTCTCTAACAGGGAGTCATCAGGGCTTTTCTTCTCATGCCCTTTATCCCAGATCATGCCAGTCTCCACAGGAAGCCTAGGCCTCCCCCAAAACCTCCGTTGTGCCATCTGAAACTCAAGTTCTGTCATTAGCAAAATCTCTGAAAGTGCTTTCAACCTGCTTGCTTCCATGGAAACC